CTGAAGACTGTCCTATGGTGTGGCCAAAAGCCACCTTTAAATTTTATTTCTCATCTTGGGAGGCTGGAGTAAGAGGATCACTTGAGGCCAAAAGTTCAAGACTAGCCTGAGCAACACAGCAAGACCCCATCTAAAAAAAAAAGAAAAAAAAAAAAACTTTAAAAATTAGCTGGATGTGGTTTCACGTGCCTACAGTCCCAGCTAACTATCCAAGCAGGAGGATGGCTTGAGCTCAGGAGTTTAAGGCTGTAGTGAGCTATTATTGTGTTACTATGCCCCAGCCTGGGTGATAGAAAGAGACCCCATCTCCAAAAAATTCTATTTGCCATCTTAAAATGTGCCTCACTAACCGGGTGCGGTGGTTCACAACTGTAATCCCAACACTTTGGGAGGCTGAGGTGGGCGGATCACATGGTCAGGATATCGAGACCACCCTGGCTAACGGTGAAACCCTGTCTCTACTAAAAATACAAAAAATTAGCCGATTGTGGTGGCGGGTGCCTGTAGCCTCAGCACTTTGGGAGGCCGAGGTGGGCAGATCACGAGGTCAGGAGATCAAGACCATGCTGGCTAACACGGTGAATCCCCGTCTCTACTAAAAATACAAAAAAATTAGCCGGGCGTGGTGCCGGGCACCTGTAGTCCCAACTATTCGGGAGGCTGAGGCAGGAGAATGGCGTGAACCCAGGAGGCAGAGCTTGCAGTGAGCTGAGATCACACCACTGCACTCCAGCTTGGGCGACAGAGTGAGACTCCATCTCAAAAAAAAAAAAAAGTGCCTCACTAGCTGTAACCCAGTTGAACTCACCCCACAGAGTTATTTAGTGTAATGAGTATGATAATTTATCAAGTTGTATGATATTGTCCCTTGCTGATACTAAAGTACACACCTTTACCAAATAATAGAGTCACAATGATCTCAGTAGTTAATTCTAATTGTGATTCTAAAACAATAATTCTTTCAGTTACCAAAAGGATATACGCATTTGACTATGTGATTAAGCCCTTTAGATATCATGCTTTAAGAGAAGGTTAAGCTACGGGAAGCTGTTAATATTTCCTTCTAGCTATCCATTCCTTCTCTAACAATGCATCAGTAACTTAAAAATCTAATGTGAAATGATGCCTCACAGTATGTCTCTCTAGATTGCATTGGTTAGAGCCTAATACATTTTATTTTTTACAAAAGATATAACTTTAAAAATATTTCTTTGCATTATCAATATTATATAGTAATATAGGTTAACCACTGTATGTGTTAAGTCCTGTGTATAGGTTAAGTGTTTGGAGAATGACTCTCCTGAAAATGGCTTGTTTTTCCATTTTAACTTTTCTTTCTTCCTTTATTTAAGGATTCCTAGATGAGGTTATGAAGAAGTACGGCAGTTTGGTTCCACTCAGTGAAAAAGAAGTCCTTGGAAGATTAAAAGATGTGTTTAATGAAGACTTTTCTAATAGGTATGTAAACGATGCTAAAGTTAAGCCCTTGAAAATAAAATTGTTGGCATATATGACTTTTCTCTTGATTTACAGGAAAAAAAGGTGCTTAGCAGTAAATTGAGAAGTACTCATTTTTTTATGTTTTCTTTCAAAATCTTTCTCTTTCAGAAAACCATTTATCAATAGAGAAATAACAAACTATCGGGCCAGACATCAAAAATGTAACTTCCGTATCTTCTATAATAAACACATGCTGGATATGGACGACCTGGCGACTCTGGATGGTCAGAACTGGCTGAATGACCAGGTCAGTATATTGTAGTTTGTCAATGTGGAGAAGTTGCAGAGGATGTTAGTCAATAAAATATAATCTCTGGTTTGGCTTCTCAGTTGTCTTTTGGAATCAAGGATTCTTTATTCTTGACTGGTTACTTGCCCCAGGATCCAAACGGTTTGATTACGGCTGTCAGTAATAATATATTCTTCATTCTGATTGGGATGTTCTGAATTGTATAGGGTTAGTAACCTGGTTTTATTTATTTATTTTGTTTTTCTTTCGCCAACTTATTGGCAGAGATAGTAAGCTGGTTTTATGTTGACTTTTTATAGGTCATTAATATGTATGGTGAGCTGATAATGGATGCGGTCCCAGACAAAGTAAGTGAACACTTCCTCTTCTTCAGGAGAGAGTGTCTTTGTGTATTAAAAGGAGTAGTTTTTGTGTGTGTGTGTGTTTAAATTATCTGACATTCCTTAAATTTTTAAAAAGGAGAGTTCAATTTTGTCTTGATCATGCACTGGGCTTGACTGTAAGTTCCATCAAATCACTTCTTTTGTTTTTCATTTTGAGATGGAGTTTCGCTCTTGTTGCCCAGGCTGGAGTGCAATGGTGTGATCTCGGCTCACTGCAACCTCC